CCATGTTCATGCAAATGCCGCGGGGGATATTTAAATCCCCCGCGGCATTTGCAATTCCGAAGTGTCTCATTAACATCCCTTTTCCGGAAAGGGGTGCCAGTGTAGACACAGCCTATGTTTAACTGGTTAACCAATTAAACAAGATTTTACATCTACTCCCAGGGCCTGACTGCCCACACTGTCTGCACCCAGACGCCCTCCCAGAGCCAGCACCCTGCATCCCCTTGTGCACCACAGTCCCCTGCCCCAGTCCAGAGCCTGCACCAAGCACCCAAACACCCTCCCAAAACCTATACCCCAGACTCACAGAACCTTTGGGAAGTAGTGGGAAGGGACTTGGACCTGTTCTGGGCATCTCCTAAAATTCTACAAACCTGCTGCCCCTGCAAGTAGAGAATTTTTAAAAGCTGGATTTTGCAATCTGGGAAAAGCATTAAGTTGGATATGGTTTATTTTGGGTGTAGTTAACATTGTGACTTTCTGTAAGGCTGATGCTTTGGGAAGGCCATAAATGTAACTATAATAGAGATGAAGAAATATTTGAGTAAGTCCCTTTATGATGGGTTGCATCACAGAAATCCCCTTGGGACTGTCACCCAGTGTGCTGATCATGCTACTGAGCTTGCCTACCTACCCTCTGGGGTGCTGCACTGCCCTGTCTTGCTGGGCCAGAAGCTCCAGTCTCCCCCAGCAAAGACACAGAGTTGAGGTATACAGCCCAAAGCAGAGCAACACAGACACTAAAAACAGCTCAGCTCTGGGAAGGCTCAGTCACTAGAACTTGACAGAGCACTCAATGGGACCAGAACCGCAGATAAATCCATCTTATTTTGCATAAAACCAAAACCCCAAGTAAATCCATCTTACTGTATCTAAAAATTTTGCACTGGGAAAGCTCTCTTTATCCATGGAAGAGAGAGATGCACAGTTGTGCCTTGTCCCAAGTAACAATTATTTACACTGGATTTGATAATAAACAAAAGTGTTTTTATTAAGTATAAAAGTAGGATTTAAGTGATTGCAAGTGAAAACAGATAAAAGGAAGTTACTAATCTAAAATAAACAAAACATGCCAGCTAATCCTAATACAATAAAAGAGATTGTTAATAGATTATAATTCTCACTCTAGTTCTTGTTCCAGATAAAATCCTCCAAGACACAGCTGATCTTTTTTTCTGTCCTGGGTCTAACAGCTTCTTGTGTCCTGTGTGTCTTCTTAGTCTTAGGTGGGCAAGGCAGTTTCAAAAGCCAGTTGAACATGATCATTGATTGCTTCCCATTCCTTATATAAAAGTTTCCTCAGGGTAGGAACCCTTTGTTTAACTCTTCCCATCCCAATGGAAAAATACAAATTTAAAAGGATTCCAGCACTAGCTGGCCTGGTATAGTCACATGTCTTTGTAGGACCAACAACAGTTTTGGGCTTACATAGTATCATGAGCTTTCTCATCTGGAGAAGTGGGTTTTGCCCACGAAAGCCCATGATACTATATATCTATATCTATCTATATCTATCTATATATTTGTTAGTCTTTAAGGTGCCACTGAAATACTCTTTTTAAAATGTACAGACTAACATGGCTACCCCTCTGAGACTCAGGAAAAACAAAGCCATTTACAGATCATTACTTTTGAGCACCAGGCTATTAAGCCACAGCACTATTAATGGCTCTTGCTAGAAATTTTAGATTAAAAAGCAAGTTTATGCTTCATATTTCTAACTTTAGTTACAAGAATGATACATGCACGTAAATAGATTGTACACATTCAGGGGAATCACAGGCTCTTGAACGATAAGTTACTTGACCTGTTTTGTATAAAGCATATTTGAGTTATACATATTCATATTCAAATACATATTTCCATAAATTAATATGGGGTGAAATGTCACATCTTCCAATCCTGACTTATGGTTCTGTGACTTATGGTTGTTCAGTATTCTTTGTTTATAGCTGATAAAGCATGCCCCAAAGTCTGAGGAAGATGTAGGCATTGAAATTTTATTCATGGCACCTTCAAACTATAGTGGAAGGTACTTTTTAAAATTATAAATTAGATTTAATGGATTCTAGCATGTTGACACTTTTTTCCTATCAGTTCTCCCTCCCCCACCCTTAAAGCTCCTTCATCCTTAGCTAGCGGCAGACGTGTGAGAACATGAACTCTGTAGCAGGGAGACACTGCACCTTGTAAAACATGGGTCTCTTTAGTGCTAGACACACAGACCTCTCATGAACCAAGGAGTAACAAGCAGTAAGAATCTTTCTGCTCTTGGCAACCAGAGAACCCACCCGCCTCTTGAAGCACAGAAACAAAGTTTCAAGGGAAAATAGAAGTTGTGAGGTGTTTTCTGGCAGCAAGGGCTCTACCTCCCTTCTGCACAAGTCTTTGGGGTATTTGGTTGGAAGATGTAGGTATAACTGTTTTCTTTAACTGAAATATTTAGTTAATTATATTTGTGTTAGAGAAGCAACTAGAGACCTCAAATGAGATTGGGACCATTTGTACCATTCACTATATAACTACATAATGAAAGAGAAACCCTGTTTGGAAGAGCTTACATTCTATATAGAAAAGACAAAGGGTGGGAGAAAAGATGAATTATCCATGTTTTACAGATGGGGACCTGAAATGCAAAGAGTGACTTGCACAACATTATATGGAAAGTTTGTGGTGGAGTTAGGAATTGAATCTGGGTCTCTTGCATCCCAGTTCAATGCTGTGACCACAGGACCATATTTCATTTCAGAGCTGTGGTTGTATTACTGGAGCCACAATCCCAACTGGAAAGGTATCAAGAGAACCCTCAATATATCTGCTACCATAAGGTCAGGGTGAGTGGATGGAAATCTATTTACACATATTTTAGAGAGTTTGTACATTTGTCTGTCGGTCCGTGAGTCAGTCTGTCTGTGAGTCGGTTTGTTCAGGAACTCCTAAACAGTAAGAGCTATAACCGCCAAATTTGGTAGGCAGCTTCCTTTTACCATAACTTAAAGTCAGCATTTGGTTGTGCCAGGAAAATGGGATGTGCTTGGAATCCAATTGTTTACCATCATATGGGAAAGGAGGGGGAGGGACAGTTATACTGTGGAATGACCAGCGGTGTGTATGACCATACCAGGAAGAGAGTGGCCAGCTGGTGCCAAGGGCTTTCTATGTTGCCTACCACCTGCCCAGATAAGTCACTCCTTTACCCCATACCTCTTCCCCCCCGTCCTCAGATGGCCAGCAGCCCCGCTACCCCAGCAGGCAGTGGAGCCCCAGCCCCTTCCCCAGAAAAGCTAGAGGCCATGGCAAGTTAGTGCTCAAAGTAATGATCTGTAAATTGCAACTCAATCCTGCTCCCCCTCCCCATGAGGAGCTACTGGGGGGGCTAGGCAGCTCAGCTCCAGCCTGCCAATCCCCCCAACGAAGCACCACAAGCTGGGAGCAACAGGCAGCCCAGTCCTGACCTGCCCTAGTAAGGAAACACGGGCAGGGGAGGTGAGGCAGCGCCCTCCCACCCACCACAAGAACCACTGACTGGGCCAGGGAGTTCCCACCAGGAGGCCCCACTAGGGCAGCACAGCTCCAGATGCAGCGCCAACCTCATCACCATGGATGGCCCCAGTAAGCCCGCATTAATCAATCATCAGTACAAAGTGTCATTGTGAATATTATTTGTAGTTAGGGTTGCTAGGTGTCCGATATTTTCACCTCCTGTCCAGTAAAAAAAAATCAGAAAATACTGGATACCTAAAATGTACGGAATTTTCTGATTTTTTTTCCTGGCCAGGAGGCAAAAATACCGGACACCTGGTAACCCTAGTGCATGGGCCCAGCCCCCCGGCTCTCGCTCCGGATCCCGACACCCCTATCCCCCCGGACCCAATGCTTACCTGGTTTTGCAGGGAAGCTAAGTTCTGGCTTGAACAACAATACAAAATGGCCACCAACTCTGCACTCACTCTGAAAGGGGCCATGCTGTTTTAATGCAGTTTTATTATTTAATTTAATTTTTTAATTTTTATGTTTTTGCTTAATAAGTCTCGGAGTCCTTCCCTTTTTTTTTTTTTTTGGCGCTCAATATTTTTATGTTTTTGCTTAATAAGACTCGGAGTCCTTCCCTTTTTTTTTTTTTTTGGCGCTCAACAACTTTGGTCTCCTCTCTCTCCCTCCTCTTTTTCCCTCAACAGAATTTTTCCCTGGTGTTTTTTTTGCGCGAGGGTGGGTGGGTGGTTTGGTATTTTTGGTTCAACCATCCGTCAACCCTATTTGTAATGGTTAAAGTGAGGGACTGGATACCATGAAGTGGCCAAAGTCAGTTAATAATGTGGGCAGAGTTTCTGCACGTTTTAAACTATAGCTTTTCCAGTGCATGTTAAGCTTGAGATGCTGGCTGTACCTTCCTCTGACCCCTTTTAGTCCTTGCTCTTTTGAGCAAAACAGTCAGTTTTGTGAAATCAGATAGTGGCTTTTTCACATTGACAGACACTGGCGTCTAGATTGAGATGATCAAACTTGTGTGGTGTGATCTCAGATCTCTTCATTGTACCACCAACCCTCCCTTCCAGTTTATTTTTCTGGCAGGTTTTAAATGTGTGGTCTTCAGTGTGCTGCTCCATAAGGGAATGGACTAATATTGAGAGAGCCTTGACATAACAATGCACTTCAGAGGAATCTCATCCCTGCCAGGGGCTGTGCTACTATCAGAATGGTCCTGTTAGAGAGTATTAGACACTTAACTAAGGCCAGATCTACACTAAAATGGAATATTGAATCAAGATATGTGACTCCAGCTATGTTAATTATGTAGCTGAAGTTGACATTCCTTGTTTCAAGTTTTTTGCCATCCCCACAGCAGAAGACTTCTGTCGGCTTCTGTTACTCCTTGCAAAAGCAGGAAAACTGGCTGCTGGTGGGGTGCCCTCTGAATTTGATTTAGCAAGTGTTAACTAAACTCACTAAGTCAAACTCCAGAAGATGGACATCTTCTGTTTATTGAAGACTTGGCCCACAGCAACACTAAGGCCAATCTGTGTGCAGGTTTGGAATAGGGTAAACACTATAACTCTGTAATTGTTATACTGTCTTATTATAGAAGTGTTTGTTCTCAGATGTTCTCAAGACCAATAAAATGTTTTAATTAGTAATTTAGGCTGTTTGTCCCAAGTGGTTTTGAAATCCTGTTAAAAATATTTCACTGTTGGATTGCGTAGCCTTTCAGTACATCTCCTTGAGTAGCTACTGCACATGCCATGCATTGTAATGTTATCTGTGGTATGATCCCTTGTATTGACACATTTTACCACATGGCAGGGAAGCTTTATTCCTTAACAGTAAATGCTATTCAGATTAATTAAAAGAATACTCTCTTATAAAGTTATGCAGGGATCTGAGTGATGCTCTGTGGACAATGGGTTAGCTTTTGATTTAAAGGCATGTCTGTCTTTTTAGTCTGTTCTATAGAGGTGTTTAAAGTAGTTAAAAAGAATTCTTGGACAGATCTACTGATGTTGAAAAACTACCACTTCAGAGACAATCTCAGTGGATAAAAATAAACGAATAAAAAAAACACACAAAAAGTCCAATTTTTTTAAATTTAAATTTGATTTTTTTATGTAAATGAAATACAGGTTTATTTTTTTAAATATACTTATTTAAAATTAAATGTGAAAATAACCTTACTATAATTTATTAAAATTAAATACAAAACTGTAAAGCAGCACGTTTGCCCATTTTAAAGAAAGTCAAACCATTCAAATATTGGAAGTCACTATTTAGAGTTTGTAGATGTGCTAGACCAGCTTTTGACATCAGTAGACTATTCTTCAGGTGAAAAGAGAATATTTTTTCAATGACTAGTTTGTTAAAAGCAAAGAAACCAATTGTGAGTTGAAAAAAGCAGAAAAGCTTACATTGTATTCTTTGCATTTCTCTTCTAATTTATGAAAAAGCTAGGAGTGAAAGAGCTACTAGTTATAACATCTTTAAAGACAGAGTGACCAGAAACAATCAGCTTAAATTCACTAATTAGCTATACTGATACTAATAAAGTATATAAATACATAAATGTTAATTTTAAATACAGAATGCTGTGATAAACTTTTTTACGTATCCAGCATTTGAGACGTAGTATTATTTAATACAATATTAAAATACTGTTTTTGTGCATTTTTAATTGAATTTGAATTTCCATCCAAATAGAGCTTGATACAAATCACTAGTAAAAAAATGATAATCTAGCAAATAGAAAACGGGGACTGGTCCATTTCTCAATATAATACAAATATAATAATTAAGAATCTGAATACATTAAATTAACCTATATAATAGCTTAAATAAACATATATTGGTATAGTTCTTGTTGCTAACCAGAAACACCAAATTTAGTGTAAAATAGGGGTGGGCAAAGGCCAGCCCAAGGGCCAGATCTGGTTGGCCGGGGTGAGCATCGTAAATTGATGCAATGTTACCTGTATGATTTTTCAGAGTCTGAAACAATAGACTGTGTGATCTGTCCATTTATCTCAAACAGGATCTTGTAGGATTCCATAAACTTCTGCTTGAAGAAAGTGATGAACCTTCCATGATGAAAATGGTGAATTTTCTATCTTGAAGTCACTATTTTGCTATCGCTAGGAACCTGTCTTTTCTCTCTCTGTCCTGCTAGGACCTGCCTGCAATAGCATGTTGCTCTCCAGCTTTCCTTCACAAGAAGGAGTTAATTAGTTACAGTGACAGCACCCTGCATTGTTAGGCAGTCAGGCAGCAGCATTGTCAGGGAGCCTGAGCACGCATAGGTGCTAGAACTATGGGTGTAGAGGTGCTACAGCATCCTTGGCTTGAAATGGTTTCCATTATATACAAGGTATATAGTTTGGATCAATGGCTCACGGCACCCCCAATGTAAAAATTGTTTTAGCACCCCTGAGAGATAAAGTCAAGTATGTATCCAGAAAGCCACATGAAATGGTAGCATAGGCTGGTGAGCAGGGCAACCTGGAGAAAAGCACAGCAGTTGCTGAGTTAGGGAGATGAATCTCAAAAATAAACCAGAAGCACCCTCCTTTCTCTTCTATGGCACGCATGGCGAGAAGGAGGTTCTGTGCCAAGATACTACAACAATATTCTAGGAGTCAAATTGGAAGAGCATAGCAAACAATCTCCTTCTCAGAAATGACCATTGATGAATTTTATGTCAGTGATTGTTTTCAACTTTCAGCCACTTGTAGCTGTGTGTGTTTTTGTGAGGAGATGGGAATGGGAGGCTATTGTTGAATTATCATGAAACAACTTTTATTTGGACTTTAGAGGTTGTTGCCATAGATTCTAGGGCTTCTTGCTATGGAACTTGGTCTCATTGTGCCATAGAATATAAGGAACCCTGATTACACTTACAAATCTTATGAAGGTTTGGGTGTGGGTGGTGGGAATTAACTATGGTGCTCTGACATGGGAAGTATGATAATGTCTGGGTAGATGGTCTCTGAGCACAGCATGGGCCACATAGTGAAGAGGGTGGGATGGGATGGGATACTTATGAGTATGACTGAGCTTCATGGACTCATTCCTCCCTCAGGGGACACAGGTGCGCAGAGCTATTTTTCGTTAATCACTAACGTAAATTAAAACATGTTCCTTTGCATTAAAATAATTAAAATAAGTTACACCCTGTATTTTTTATTGACAGATAATATCTTTGAACCTTTAGCTCACCAACTTGCTCTCAGCTGCAAGTTATTTTTCCTGGCATACTTAACCCATTGTACTGAATGTGAAAAGTGTTATAGGTGGAAAAATCCCCTGACAGCAGTTGGTGGTAGTGTGAACTTTTAGTCGTTGTACTCATTGGAAATCATGTTTTCAATGTCTCTTATGAGCTCAACCTGCCCCACACCAAGATGAAATGTACCGAGTATGGGTGGGTCATGTTTGATACTTACCAGGGGCTTAAACATAAAGTGGATTGTAGAACTATGATGTGGTTTTAAAATAGATTGATTGCTGGTGAAGGAGTGATGCTGTCGAGTCTGGAACAGTTTGGGAAAGAGCAAACACAACCTCTGCCATCTCTGCCTTGAGGATATTTTCCTGCTTTTTTGAGGGACAGGCTGATACATGAAGTAGTGATACAATGTTTGTTGTGGTTTGTCTCCTGATTTTTGAGCTCATGGATTTGGCAGCCCTGCTTCTTACTAGTTGGAGCATCAGCCCACACTTTTTGCTACTCCTTTCACTTCTAGCCAGTCTCAAAGAGGTTGACTGAGGCCATGGCTTTGTTCAGCGATAAGGTCGAATTTATTAAGATTGATTTTTTTAGCATCCAGTTTTGTAAAGTTGAAAGTGAATATCTCCACTTTGTTCAAGAATATGATGTAGTTCAAAGTAGTGCACCCACAGTAGAGTGGCTACCATTGACTTTTGAGAGCAATGTACTGTAAGTAGCTATCCCACAATGCCTGCGCCCCTTTGCATTCTGACTTATGCTCCGGGTGCACGCTGGGACCAAAACTGTGCAGCGAGTGGCTCTGGGTACATGCCATCACCATTCTATCGTGTTCTCATTTCTTCTCACGAGTGGCTCTAGGTACATGCCATCACCATTCTATCGTGTTCTCATTTCTTCCCTACCCCCCTGCTTCAGAGCAACAACAAGCAGTCTTTTTGTGCCTTTTTTCTCTTCGTTATCCACACAGACACCATAGCAACGTAAGCATGGAACCCATCGTGGATTCTGTTGAGAATCAAAGTATTATAATAATTGTATTAACCATGGTGCGCCTAAGGCTGGAGTACGTCCAAAGCTTGTCCAGAGTCTGCTAAAATGAGGACAAATCTCGGGAGGCCGTGAACATACAAACTCTTCTCTGAAGTGCCTGAATTGAGTAACTGGCAGATGCCGCTGGCATTTGATCCTCTGGACACAATGGAACGCTGGTTCTGGTACCATCAGATAATGATGCAGGTATGGGATGATCAGCAGTGGCTGCAAAACTTCCATATGCGTAAGGCCACTTTCATGGAAGTTTGCATATTGCTTTCCCCCATCCTGACATGCAAGAATACTTAACGAGACCTGCTCAGACAGTGAAGAAGCACATGGCATTGTCCTGTGGAAGCTTGGAGTGCCGTACAGTGACCTGTCGGGTGGGAGTAAGTTTGGAATGGGGAAATCTACGTGGGGCTGTTGTGATCCAAGTAGCCAAGGCAATCAATACCCCTCTGCTACAGAAGGCAGTGACTCTGGGAAACACGGAGGAGATAGTGGTGGGGCAATTGATCTGGCCCATAGTAATCTGGCCCTGCTGCTGGGGCCAGAGCAGCACACCTTTCCCCCATCCGCAGCAGCTCCCTGAGTTGTTTGTGCAGGACTTATTAGAGGGAATCCTGCTCAGCACCACTGTGTGTGGAGCCCCTCACACAGCTAGACACTCCCAGAGCCACTTGTGAATCACACAAAGAATGGCACCGGCCAAATCCCCCCAGCTCCCAGCCCAGCACTTCAGAAATATTCCATCTTGTACTGCTCAAGATGAACAGTGCAAATTTATTAATTGATTCACCGACGGAGAGTGGATATACACCAGCCTTTGTGAAACCCGAGCACACTATCAGACACTTCAGGCAAACTCGCTGGTAAAGATAAACAGTTAGACAAATGTATTGACTACAAAAGAGATTTTAAATGACTATAAGTAATAGGCAAAAAGTCAGAGTTAATTACCAAAAGAAAATAAAGTATAAATACGCAGTGTAAACTCCCAACCCAATTAGACTGGACAACTACTAGATTGTGCTGTTTTTCTCACCCCACTAGACATTGCAGTTCTTAATATACAGGTTTATCTCTGAAACATGGGCCAGTCTCTTCTGTTGAAGTCTTCCGTCTTTTCAATGTCCTTGTTGCTTGCAGCAGAGGTGGAGGGAGGAGAAAGGCAAAGCATGGACTTGCTGTGTTTTATTTTATACTACCCTCAGTCCCATGTGCTTAGAGAATACAAGTTCAGGCATGTCTGGTGGGTACTGAGTCCCCAAGCAAGATTGAGCAATTCCTTTGGTGTGGCCTCATGCAGGTGAATAATTGAATTGTAGCTCTCTTGCCTGCCATTGGTTACTTTCCTTGCTGTTGTCTTTGGGGAGTTAATATCTGGATGATTCCCCAACTTCAGAATGTTTTAGTATTTATCAAACAACACAGTCTCTTAACTCTATATGTTCTAAAGATGCACATATTTAGATAGACCCGTGGGTTTCAGACAATCATAAGCTTTGCCCTTGATACTTTACATGGCATGCTTTTTATGCACGATCAGAGTTATACATAAATGAGGAATATGAGGGTTACAGGGTGCTCCCCCAAGGTACACAAAGTCATAGGGGGACCTTGGTGAGCTCTGTAGCAACCTCACTAGACCTCTACCAAGAGTATGGTATTTATAATCTGTGTAGAGAAGGTTGTTGCACTACAGGGCAGAGAAAAGGAATTTAGGGCCTTCTAAAGGGTCCCACCCAGGCATTTAATGATGTGTGGTTTCAAAACTGGCAGTGCAGCAACTATCATCTGTCTCCATCAAATCTAAAACCTAGAGAGATTTAAGAAGGGTTAGCAGTGTATAAATGAATAACTCTGTATAGCCAGGGGAAATAAGCAGAATATTTCACTAGCCATACTTAGCAAAATGAGAACCGCTGTTTATCTCTATATGGACAGACCAAGCACTAATAGTCAGGCAAGGATATACACTAATAGCCTGGCCTGGCTCTGGGTTTTGCAAGAGCCTTGTATTTTAATCAATCTCTCTCGCTCTCTCTCTCTTTCTCTTTTGTATGCAGCACAGAGACATGTCCTCACGTACATGGAGGATGCAGTGAGCCAGCTGCTGGAGAACAGAGAGGATATTAGTCAGTATGGCATTGCCAGATTCTTCACTGAATAGTAAGTACATCAGGAGTCTGCCAATAGGACCACCCTTAGGGAGGCTCTTGGAAGCAGGCAGGGAACATGGAGAATGGAACTGGACACATGCTGATTATGTTGTGGCAGTGAATGTTCGATTTGAGTAGGTTAGCCAAGGGCTGCCTGAGCGTGTTTCAGAGACATGCTTATTCAGAACAATGGGTCAAAATCAGACCTGATTTAAAAGCGGGACAACTCCTGTTGGCTTCACCAGCATTTGTGCTTGCTTATTCTGAGGCTGAATTTGGCACAGATAAGGCTTCTGTTCTTTGTTTTGCAACTATATCTGGATCATCATATACTATCCATCTTCAACGCTAATTTAAAAAATGTATTCACTTCTTCACAGTCAGGGAAAAAGAGGAAGTCTTTAGTTGTATCAGCAGTACACTCCTGCAGTGGGTCTGGGCAGATGTTCTGAAAGAAAATGGGTTGGGATGGAGGAAAAGGAAGGTTGCATTTTAACATCTTGAGACTGATTCTTGCTGCGCTGTCAACCCAGGTCTCCAGGCCCTCTTCTTTTCCATAGTCCCAAACCAAAGAGATGGGATATGGGACATATTTCAAGGCCTTTGTGTATAGCTCTCTTAGTAGATGGCTCTGTGGTAAGAGGACTGATTCCCTGTGGTACCTTATCCCTCTGATTCCTGTCAATGTTCCTGTTAATGTGCTCACTTTATCCTGCTCTCTCTATGAATTAACCATGGCTATTGTTCAGTTTTGTCCCATCTGCTTTTTGTTTTGTGTCTGTGATATGGTATTAAACCCCCACTCTGGGCAGCCCGGGGGTAAGGAACTGCTTTGAGCTCAAACAGCCCTGGCCTGACACATCTGGAGGAAATGTTCCAAATGGTGGAGGAATTAGAAGGCTGGAGAGCTCCTCATTAAGTGACAGATCAGGGAAGAGAGCAGTTCTGCAGCCCCAGCAGGGAAGAACTGAGGGAAAGACAATCTCCTCCAAAGACAACTACCCAAAAGTCCTGTGTGAGGAAGGGGAGAACCTGCTACCTTCAAAAGTACCTGTGTGAGGAAGGGGAGAACCTGCTATAGAGCATCTCTGGAAGAGGAAAGCGTTCCCCTCTCCCTCTCCCTCTCTTAGGGACTCACTTTTTTGTTAATTCCCTTTTACTTTGTTTGGCCCAGCAGGGAAAATCTCTAGACCTGAACTGGCCCAGGAGGGTGGGTTATACTTCAGAAGGATGCAGTTGTTGCCCAAGAGAGGAAGAGAACTGCCATGGTACATGCAGCCTACAGAAGGTGCCTTGTGGAGGGAAGATGGTTTTCATACAATCTAAACCCAGACAGTGCCTCTGGGACAGTTGCAGGGGGGATGATAGGAAGTAGCCCAGGGAGGGCAGCCTTAAGCTGCCCCTGGCTGTAAGATCACTGATAGCCGTCAAATGGCTCTGGATCAGAGCCTCGTGGAGTGGGAGGGCTTGGCCTCTCCTACCAACACCCTGTGAAAGTCATGGGCCTAAGCCCAGACCACTGGGCAGTGCTATCAACCAACCTCTTAAGTGAGAACTATCACAGTCTGATCCTTGTAAAGCTCCCTTTATGTGTTTGGCAATCTGCTGTCTGGTCCATCCAGATTCAATAACCATTATATAAGGCTCAGCATAGTCACAATGGTCATGATAACTGATCTCAAGAGACCCCAGAAACCCAGATTAGGAGGAATAATGTGAAAGGGGATGCACCAAAATTTCTGCATTTGTAGAACATTCACCTTTCAAACATAACAGCTTTATTCTGTAGAGAGCCTTTCTATGCACTGTCTTGAACATAAACCCCACCAGCAACAGAATACAAATATGAGGTTGGTTCATAGGAATGTACCCGTGTGTTATAGACTGATGTGTCCTGGTGGTATGGATCACTGCTAACTGTGTTCTGATTGGCTAGACAGCAATTATGAGCTCCTCTGTTTTGGCCATGATCAGTATCAAATCAGAAACCTCATTCAAGATCATAAAATTGATTTGGACAGCAGCTGGTCTCAGAGCTCCTCCATCTCACACAATACCAGAGGCCTAAGATAAAAATGTAAAATGCTGCATAGTGGATTATTATAAAATAACCTGTCTGTAAGGTAAATTTCTTTCTAATCCATATCAGCTTGCAGTTGGTTTATGCTTTGAGGCTTACAGATTTATATTGCTTTATAAAATTATCTTGCTTAACATAACTATGGATGGTTTCCTTATTCATATGGATGTCCATAGGTCTTTTGGAATTATATTTATCTCATAACTTTATTGACATCTAGTAGCAATGAGTTCTGCAGGTAGATTATACATTCACAGCAGACTGTCATCCTATTAGTAATTATTGCATTTATAACATACCCTCCCCAGGCAGCCTACATATAAAAACAGTATACAATTAAATAAAAACATAGGTAATCCTTACAAATCCAGGCAGTAAAAATTCAAGTACAATGAACTGAGATGTAGCAAAATACAAGATTAAAGAGGACAAAGAGATATATGTGGAGGATATAAATATGGAGTCAACACAACACATACTAATGACACCTTGGAAAGAAGATTTCAAGATGTATTTGAAAATAGTTTAGTAGAGAGAGTAAGACATGCCTGGAGGAGGGATTTACAGCTTCAATTAAAGTCTGGTTTCTTGTTGACCAAAGATGTTATGATGGATCCATAAAAGACAGCTGGTACCAGAGCACAGATGATATTCATGGTAAAGTTTAGTAAGGGTGTCTTGTATGCGTTTTTGTCCTTGCCATTCTGGGGTTTAACAAACAAATAGTGCCAGCCTCTGCCCCCTCTGCCACGTTATGGGAAAAGACAATGTGATGGGTTTAAAAATCAGGCAAAAATTAATGAAAATGCAATTTCCGGGGACATACAGTTTCTGACATTGGGCTCAGTAGCGTAGAGCAGTGGTTTTCAATTTTTTTTCTTGTGACCCAGCTAAACAAAATTGTTAATGCTTGCAACCCAACATAATTACATCTTTTGACTAGAATGCATGCTCTGGGTGGAGCAGAATGAAAGGTCTGGGGTGTAGGAGGGAGTTATGGATTGGGGGGCCCTCAGGGCTGGGGTAGGGGGTTAGTGCTTATGGTTGGGCATGGGATTACCTCCAGCAGCTCTTGGTCAGTGGTACAGCGAGGCTTCCTTCCTTTTCTAGCACCACTGATCACACTATGCCCTGGAAATGGCCAGCTGCAGATCTGGCTTCTAGGCAGTGGCACACAAGCAGCTCTGCATGCTGCTCTCGCCTGCAGGTACAGATCCCCTCTCTTCTCCCATTGGCTGGGACTTGGCCAATGAGAGTGTGGAGCCAGTACTCAGGGTGGGGACAGTTCATAGAGCCCCATGGCCTCCCTGTCTAGGAGTCAGACCTGCTGTTGGCTGCTTTTGGGATGCAGTGTGGTTCACAGTGCCAGGACAAGCAGTACGCCTGTCTAAGCACTCCCACTAGTCACAGGTCATCCTATAGCAAGGTAACCCAGTGCTGGGTTGCAACCCATAGGCCAGGTCTACATTAGACCTGGAAGGTCGACTTAAGGTACGCAACTCCAGCTGTCTAGGATACATACCTAGAGTTGGCTTACCTTAAACTGAGCTTGGAGCTGACTCCACTGCAGGAGGCCAATGGGAGCAAACACTCCTGTTGACTTCCCTTACTTCTTGTGACTGCAAGGAGTATAAACACCAACTGGAACTACCCTCAGCGTTCAACTTAGTGGGTCTATACTAGATCCGCTAAATCGAGCGCAAGAACATTGATCTCTGGCATTGCGAGTGAAGACCATAGTTTGAAAACCACTGGTGTAGAGAATCAAGAAGACATGATCTCTCTGCTCTGGTAGTTTGTCTTCATTACAAAATGGAAAAAGAATGTTTATTTTTTATTTTTATATTGTGATGTTTCAGAGAAATTGATTTCATCACGTGAGATAGAAAGAAAAATTATAATCCATAATTAGGTGATGTCGTTGGATTCAAACTAATATGATAGGGGAAATCTTCGTAGTGACACAAGTTCCAGTTGTTTCTTCTTGTTAGATGGTGAGTATTTAGTAAGTCAGCTGAAAGCTTCTTACTTGCAGATTGACTGACAGAAATCAATGAAAATTTGAGCCACTGGCTTTTTTGTTGGGGCTGTGAATAGGTTGTGCCTTGATGTCTGAGGGATGCCTTTTTTCTCTAGGCCAGGAGTGGGCAAAGGACTTCTGCGGGCCAGATCCAGCCTGCCAAGTGAGTAGATGAGGCCTGTGGATGTCCTGTCACTCCCCCTGCAGCCAATCAGGGTCTGGGTGTGGGAGGAGCTTGTGAAGTCTCTCGCTCCCTGCCCCACAAGGGCCACGCGGTGCTTAGAGTGAAAGCACCTCACATTCCTTGTAACACTTTCAGTCTAAGTGCCATGCGCCTCTTGCAGGGTGGAGGCAGGGAGCGACAGACTTTGCTCACTCTTCCTGCCCCCAGGTCCTGATTGGCCTGGGGGTGGAGGGAGCTTGTGAAGTTTCCTCCTGCCCTGCAAGGGGGCAGATGCCTAGAGGGAACTGCCAGCTGTTCAGAACGGCTGGCAGTTCTCTCTAGGGGAGGGCAGGGGCAAAGACTTCATGTACTTCCCCACCTCCAGGCCAATCAGGGCCAGTGGGACGGGGAGCATGGAAGTGTCCTGGCCCCACCCCTTCTACTAGAGGCCCTGCCCCTTCCAGGGTAGCTTAGGGCCACTTCAGATATTAGTGAAGTGGCCCTCTGTCTAAAATTATTGCCCGCCCCCGCTCTAGGTCTAACCATGGTTCAGAATTTTGATCTAGTGAAAAGGGTTAGTACTTTTTATCCTCCCCTGGGTTTAAGCCTAAAATTAGTCCCAGTGTATGAACAGTAAATGTCAAGAATTCAGGGTGCTTATAAGACAGTGATGGGTACTTCTGCAAACTGAATAAGTTACCCTTCTGGAAATGTGGTGTTTCCTATGAATACCCAACGGGTACTTCT